AGCTGTTTTCTTGATTTCTCACAGAATCATTTATGTTAGAATGGTGAATGAAGTCCTGAATTTTACATAATTAAAGACACCCAGCCTATTATAGAACCGGGATAGCGGGTTTTTAAAATGGGTTTCTAACGGGTTACATGCGATTGACCTAAAATGAGTGATGGTTTTCAGATCAAATTGATCGGTTCGATTCGATCCGATCACATCCCATTTTTATAACACTGGGCCTTTTAGATGCATTGTCTGCAGTGAATTGATTTGTATTGGTAAAGGGACAAAATTAGTATTTGAAAAAAATACACTTGATTCAAAGGAAAATAAATAATTGAAGGGCCCCTTGGTAATTACAACGAAAAGGGGGGACTTGGGGTAATTTAATTGTGCAACAGCGCAGGAAGAGAACACGCGTACCGACGTACATGAAGTATGGGGATGCCAGCAAAAGAAAATGTCGGTTTAAAAAATCTTGCCAGAAAGATTTAAGGATTTTTCTTATAAGTTCATCAACAATTTCATTGATCTAATGCAGGGTCGAAGCCAAAAAATTCGTTAAGTGCGGGAACAATTTAATCGACGCTGAACTTTGAATTTTTGGTTATGGTGTGAATGATAATAAAAATATATAACAATATTACGACATGTGGTCAATTCTTGATTGTTCACTGCAGTCTTTTTGGTAGAGATCAATTGGAGTTTTTGGTCAACTTTGCTGAAACAGGAACTTTTGGTGGATCCTGCAATAATCAGTGCCATAGACGAGGAGACTGAATTTAATGCCTTAGTGGTATGTATGTAAATAACTTCACTTGCTGAACAGAGATTAGTAGCTTACATATTCTCCTCATATCAATTGCAATATTTGCAGGAAGAAGAGGCTGCTATGCTTGAATCATTACTTGGAAAAAGATGATCCAGTTACAGTATTATCAAACTTAGCGAGGTTACTACAGCTTAGTCCACTAAAACACTGATGTAAAAGCATAGGAAAACTATGGTATGCTTCCTTAAATGCATATTCCTTCTCAGACAACGGGATTTCATTGATAACTTTGGTACGCCCTCTCCCCCAGCGTGCACATGTCTGTTCAAATTCACTTTAAATCAGCAGTTGTGTGACATGTCTAACCTTAAAACGACATCCAATTACTGAATTAAGTTCACCTCTCCCTAGCCTCCGGGACGACATCCAATTAACTCTAGGCTCCAGTAGCTTCTAAGTTCAAATTTCTTGATTTATGATTTTAAATCAAACACAACACTCAAGAAAAGATTAATCAAACATGAGACTCAAATCAAAATAACAAATCAAAAGGAAAGAGAAACGAAAGGGCTTTTAGGCTATACCTTCTTCAGCTGCCAAATCGACTTCTTCTAGTTCAAAAGTTCGGTGAGTTCACGGTTGAGTAATGTTAAAAGGATAAAATTTCACATCGAATAAAGATGAAAATATAAATTAATTTATAAGGTTGGGCTACTCCTCTTAACAATGTTAACATTTTAAGATAGAGCCACAAGTCTTAACATGGTATCAAAATCCGTTAAACTCCAATGAGCAATTCGATCCGATTAAGATTCAAAAAATTGAGTACATGAATTTCAAGATTGGTTTGCTCAAACGAGCCACCATCTTGCGAGAGCATGTTAAGGGATAAAATCTCACATCGAATAAAGATAAAAACATAGACCAATTTATAAGGGTTTAGTTTACTCCTTTTATTAAGGTTGACCTTTTAAGATGGAATATCAAATCTTTACGTGGTATCAGAGCACATTAAACACAATTGAGCAATTTGATCTGATTAAATCTCAAAAAAACGAGCACAGTGATTTCAAGATTGGTGTGCTCAAACGAGCCACCATTTTGCGGTGCATGTTAAGGGATAAAATCTCACGTCGAATAAAGATGAAAACATAAATCTATAAGGGTTTATGCTACTCTTCTTAACAAGATTGACATTTTTAATATGAAACTCCGAGTGTTAACAAGTGAGAAGTGGTTCATGCCTTCTTCTTTCAAAAAGGAATCGTTGTTGCGATGTTGCTGCTCCGTTGATGGTGTCGACGGAAGGAAAGCGACGTCGACGACGCCTCATCAAGGGCTCAAAGAGACAAGAGTGAGAGGCTAATGAATGGTCGTGCACTACCTTTGTCCATTTGTGAGAGTTGTCTTTCAAATGGCCAGATGAATTGTAACATGATGGCTAATGGGTACCGGTCATGAGAGATTGAAATATATAAGATTGGGTTTACTCTTTGGTTGGGTCTCTGGTAGTGGTAGGCTAATACATAGGGAGAATTGCATAAAACCAAGCATTAAGTTTCACTTTTTTTCAAAATCAGGTTTTGACCTCTTTTTTTGTCATTTATCAGGTTTTTATCATTTTATTTTAATTAAATAATTAATATTTTAAAACCCTAATTTATCAATTCCTCACCCCCACCCTCGTCCCTCTCTCCATCGTCTCTATCTCCTTACCCTCCCCGCCTCCTCCCCTTTTATCTCCTCTACTCCATTCTCCCTTCCTTCCGACGTCGGGAGCCGTTCACAGCGTCAAGGCGCTGCTATGAATCGCAGCTGCGCCTTGACGCTGCTGCCATTTGCAGCAGCGTCGCGACACTGCTGTGGCTGATGGGTGGGTGTGTGGACTGTGGAGGTCTTCAGCGTTACGACTGTGGCTGATGGGTGACTGCGGTTGATGGGTGACTGCGGCTGATGGGTGGGTGTGTAGAGGTCTTCAGCGACGCTACTGTGGCTGATGGGTGGGTGCTGTGGTGAATCTAGTGATGGGTGGAATCCGTGTGATAGATCTCTGTGTGTGTGTGGCGGTCTATGTGGTGTGATAGCGATCGTTTTTTGTTATTGTTGTGGCGATGGTTGTGGTGGTATTGTGGCGAGGTCGACGACGGTGGTGGTAGTTTTCTTGGTGTGGTGGTGCAAGCGACGATGGGATGGTTGTTTTTTGTTATTATTATGGCGGTGGTTGTGTTGTGACGGGGTGACGATGATGGTGGTGCCGTGCAGTTAATAAGATGTTTGTGACCTCGGAATCGGAGCAGTTACCGAAATTAAGCGGCGACGAACGATCGCCGAAATAGTCGTCGGAATTAAGTGTGGCCGGGGAACAATCGTCGGAGTAGTCGCCAGAGTAGTGGGGGTGATGGAGATGGGGTGGGTGGGTTAATTATATTATATTATAGTTAAATATTTAATTTAATATAATAATTGCAAAATATAATTAATTAATNTAGTCATCGTCCGCCGGAGTAGTCGCCGGAGCAGTTGGGGTGGTGGAAGTGGGGTGGGATGGGTTAATTATATTATATTACAGTTAAATATTTAATTTAATATAATAATTGTAAAATATAATTAATTAATTCATGAAAAAACCTGATTTTTGTAATTCTAAAACTTGGGGCCAGATTTTTGATTTCATGGTCATGATCCATGAAATTTTCCCTAATATATCCAAAAGTTCAGTGCAGGCTGTATGGGCTCTGCCCCTGATTTAATGGGCACGAAAAAAGAGGAGAAGACACGACAGCAGAAGGAAGATTTGGCATCCAATTTATGTGATTTTTAGAGAAAGAAAGTGATAAATATTAGACAAACCTTATGAACATGTTAGTGGCGTATATTTCGTGTTTTCGTTTGTACTGGGAGCAATTGGAATATATGATTTTTCCGATAAAGCCAACGTTTTCTTAAGTTGTTGCCAATTTGTCGAATCATATTTAGTTCTTATTTTTCTCTATTTGGCTTGTTTGGCTCAATTTATAGCCTTTGTTTGAGCTACATTATTTGATAAAAATTGATTTTGGAATAGTATTTTTGGAGAATGTGTGGCTAGAAAGTAAGGAGATTTTTTGAATTTATGTGTAATATTATTTTATTGAGAGAATGTGTGATTGATAAGAGGAAAGAAAAAAATGAATTAAATTTAATGGGAGCCAAACATGAGCTATGTTTCCATTACTTACGGTGGAATTGATTTTGTTGACCCCGAAAAACGTAATGCAAACGTGGACAACAAATGTCAAGTCCACTCATATCAACTTAAGCAAGTTCCGGTGCTTTTTGATCGGAGTATTGGTGAGAGAAGGATAACACGTGAATGTGGGAGATGTTTTATGGTACGAGACAAATGTATTCGAGCACCGACGATAGTGACTATGATGATTGCGCTAACAAACATTCATCGACAAAGTGTAAATAACCTAAAATCAAACTGATAAATATAGAACAAGCAAAAAGGTTTCTTGAGAGTATTTGTCTTGAGTGTTTTCTTGTATATTAGAATCAATATTCAAATCACCATCGTGGTGTCAGTTGGATCAGAATCACGTGGCCTCATCTCCTTGACTGAAGTCTCACATCACCGAGTCTCTTATACATTAAATACATTGACAACGAATCAACCGCCATATATATTACAAACGTTATATCCATCATTTATAAAGATTGTCTACAAATCTTGTAAGGCACATCTTCAGTTTTAGGAACTTCGGATGAACTAAGGGCTTCGGTCGAATGGAGCTTCGTATTGATGGTCTTCTATGTGAAGAGCTTCGGCTTCTTCTTTGATTTCTTGCGTGGCACTTTGGCTAAACAGCTTCCAGCTTCAACCATTTAGACAGTGTTTCAGCTTCCAGCTTCAACCATTTAGGCAGTGCTTCGGTACAGAAGTTTCAGCCTTTACTCGACTTCTTTGTATTTGACTAATTATGTTTCTATTGACTTTTCTTTCTACGTGAACTGCAACATGGCACATTGACTGTAGTCTCGATGGTAAGGCGTAACAAATTTTCCCAACATGATTTTAACTTCTCCAAGCAACTTGTATATGAACTAAACGTGATTCGACAAGTTACTATGCAGTGAACTGTAGTGTACAACAATAGAAAACCAGTAACTGTACTTTTCATTTTGACAAGAATTATCATGTTAAAATACCAATTTTAACCCTAATTAAAGTCATCCTTTTATGCCCCAAGTTTATTGATAATATAAGAGCATCTCCAAGAGACTC